CTGGAGAAGAAAAGGCTCCGTGGAGACCTTACTGCAGCCTTCCAGTATTTAGAGGGGGCCTATAAGAAAGATGGGGACAGACTTTTTAGCAGGGCCTGTAGTGATAGAAGAAGGGGTAATAGTTTTAAACTAAAAGAGGGTAGATTTTGACTAGATCTAAGGAAGAAATTTTGTACAATGAGGGTGGTGAAATACTGGCACAGGTTGCCCAGAGAGGTGATAGATGTCCCATCCCTGGAAACATTCAAGGTCAGGTTGGACAGGGCTCTGAGCAACCTGATCTGGTTGAAGATGTCCCTGTTCATGGCAGGGTGTTGGACTAGATGAGCTCAAAAGGTCCATTCCAACACGAAGATTCTGTGATTTTATGCCTGCCTGAAAACTGCGGGGGAGGGTGGGTGTGCTGCCTGAGTTGAAACAGCATGTGTGAGGAAAGGCTGCATGTGCTCTCTTGCCTTTCTTTTTCAATTGTTTGTGATTTCTGCTTAGCCACTAAAATGGGCAGACCCACCTGCAGACTCTGCGGGTGGTCAAGGCAATTTCACCTTGGTGGTGTTTGTAACTGACCATGTGAAACTGTATAAGAGAATGGTGAGTTGCTTAGGACAGCTAATAGCTTTGATTAGTCTTGGAATTAAAGCACGTTTTCTGTTGAACTGAAATCCTAGAGCTTTTTATATTTAGTGGGGAGTGAATAAGGAATGGTCTTGTGTTATGGGTTCAAGCCAGTTTCATTCCAGTTTACTCTTTATTTAATTAAATGTCAAATGCCCAAAGAGAATCTGCTTTGGGACACACTTCTGGCAGAAAAACGTGACAAACTACAGACAAGAAGACATGAGTAAGTCAAAAGGGCTCATTTCTCCCACAAGTTCTTTTTTAGGTCTTTTTTTTCATATAGGTTGTGCTGGTGCCCTGAGTTCCCAACAGGTTGGCTGTCTGCCTCCAGTGAGATTTTGTGTGATGCCTTGTCAGGTGGAAATCTGCAGTGGCAGCAAGCAGAGTGGTTCATCTCTGGTGAAGGGGCCAGCTGGCTTGATCTGGTGTGCTCATCCGATTGGAGTCAGAGGGATCCAAACATGAGTAACTGCAGAACAAGTTAGAAGGCAGCACTGATGTGTTCATGAAGATGATGTAAATGTAGTCCATACTTTAAAAGCAATGACATCCTAATATATGCTTGCTTAAAGATAGGTGAAGTGAGAAACATCTCATGAAGAGCTAACCTTGTGAAATCATTTGTTGGGATAAGTGTATTGAATATTCGATGACTGTAACAATCATTTGTAGTTGTATAAACATCTGTATTTGTTTGAAGTGAATTTACGCAAGACACAGAAACAGTTAAAGAAGGTGAGGTCACTGAGAACTGCCAGTCGTGCGTGTGTGAAGAAGTTAACACTGAGGAAGGTGATGGTGATGATGACGGTGATGATGAAGAGGAAGATGAAGACTGGGACTGGGATGATGAGGTGGGAAGACTCATGAAGCGCCACAGTGCTGCTGGTGGATGCAATCCACAGGTATGTTGAAGGCTATTTTGTGAGCATCAAGGGTGCCCAAGAGCAAATGGGGCTAACCTGGAGGCTTTGTTCTTTGTTAGTATTATGCTGAGCATAAATGCAAATGGAAATTTTTCCTCAAGAGAATCCCCTTCCTTTGAATCTGTTCCTCTGCTGTGCCATGTGTGTATGTACATTGTAGCCAGAGCTCCTCTTGATTCCTTGTCTCTGTTGCTGGATTGTCTTTGTCGGTGCAGTTTTCCTTCTGTTCTGCATCTTTCTCAACCTTTCTTTGCCCACCCTGATCTCTACTCATGTTGCTTACTTTTTGGTATTTGTCCTCTTGTGTTTTTGAGCATCTTCCTCATCTTTTCTATTTAATTTGGAGACTGTACCTGCTTGTCACACCCAGGGTGAAACAGGTTATGTTTTGGACTAATAGTGAAGGAGGTAAAAGAAAGCATAGGAGATAGAGGGAGGTGCTAGAAGTGGATTAATTTGGAGCGTATGCTGTTGACATAGAAACTCAGGCATTGTGCAGGATGAAAAGCACGTGTGATGTGAGAACTAGCATCCTTCTCCTCAGCTTGGACATTGGAAGTTCAAAACCTCTTTTTCTTATTGATACCAACATAACAGAATAGTTGAGGTAAATTAGAGTGGTGCTGATCACGGCATGTCATGTCTGACTCGCAGCACTTTTCCTGGGTGACTTACTCTTGCCTTCAGTTAGCGGTTTATCCAGTGTTGGTGAAATTGTGTTGAAATATTTGGAGGAGACTACCTGTAAAAAAAGATACCATCTTGGAAAGTTTTCTCTGTTCATTACCTTCTCATTTTTTCTCTCATCTTTCTCTTTGTTTCTGCCTTCTTTTTACAGATGGAAAAAGTGTTAATAGGAGAGATTTACAGCTCAACTCCCAGACTAAAAATAACGGTGAATTTTGGGAATTTTAACTGAGTCACCTTTATTTTCTTATCTTGAATTAACTGATGTTAATCCATATCTCTTTCTGGTTTTCTATTTATAGCTTTAGACATAGGCATTTGAGATGACTTTTCCAATGCTATTGTTTGAATTTCAAAGGGCTATTTAGACAAGGCAACTTATATTAACAAATCCTTTTTTTCAGGCAAATAGACAGACCCCTAGTTGCTATTCAGCAAAAATGTCAACCCCTACAGACAAGGCTATAAGGAAATTTGAACATAAAATTAATTTAGGTGAGTATAATTGCATTGTCTTCTTTTATGACTACCACTCTATGATGTCCTCAGACTAATTCTGCTTACTTTAAGCCAGAACTCACTGGAATGGCAGTTAACCATTGCCAGACAGATTGTAAAATGGCTTTTGCTTACTTGAAGTTGCCTTTAGACTCTATTAGCCAGCTGTCATAGCCCTTTCTCTTCCTCCTTCACAGCCACAGGGCTGTTTTGTTTGGGGTTGTTTTTTTCCCTTTCCCTTCACTTCTCCAGACCACATCAAGTATTTTTTCCTTAGCTTCTCTGCAGGAGCAAGCTGTTTTACTGAAGGGAGGTTATCCGCTTTCTGTTGTGATGTTGTTGGTCATTGTCAAAGCTGCTACCACAGCTAAATTTTCTAGATGACTGCAGCCCCCTGTAGTGTTAGTGTGGTACCTTAAGCAACAGTTATCTCACTGGGGTAGAGTTTCTGTGATACGCGAAGAGGCTGCTGTCCTAGCTGGTGCAGCTTGATGTACACCATGTGATGGAAATGGCTGCTCAGCTCAGCCTGTTATGGCTGGGTGTAGCTGTGTGATTGGGGCCTTTCGACAGGGTAGTAAACAGAGGCTGTGTTTTCCTTCATAACGAAGGGGTTCTAAAATGAGGGTCCAAAAGAGTGGTGCTGATATATGTAGCCAAATACAGCAGCTTTTATACATTCAGCAATTAGTCAAATACCATTTTAAATACATCATGGGATGAGAATCCTGGAGGCTGTTGCTTATTCTGTTCAGAAAAATGGCAGTCAATTGTGGTAAGAGAAGGGAGGACAAATTTAATGGTGAGATGTTATCCAAAAGGCATTACTTCTTGATGGCATTGCATCTCCAAGTCTGTGAGACTGTCTCACTCCTCTCTATTGTTACCTTATAGTCTTACTTTGAAATGTAGACAGAGTGGAGAGCTAGGTTAACTGTGGTATGTAGCTAAGCTTCTGTGGTAAACTTCTGTGCTTGATACAGAAAGCTCCACCTATGTTTGAACATTGTGTTGCGGCGTATCAGCTGGCAGCAGAATTGCAGAGGCAATTCCAAACATAGGAAACTTTTTTAGGTTTTGGTTTTTTTAATTTCTTCTTACCTGTTTTTCAGATAAGCTGAATTTTGATGACTCTGTTATAAACAGAGTTACAGAAAAGTCTAGACAGAAGGAAGCAGACATGTGAGTATTATTCCTGGTTCTATTTTCATTTCAATAATTTGAACCCAGAAGAGTAGTTCTTACTTCCTAGTGTGATCCTGAATTTTTAATAAATTTATTAAGAAAAACAAAATTTGTAAGTCGTCAGCATGGAGTTTGCCTTTTGGTCTTACAACTTTTTGGTTTCCAGATCAGTTGTCTAAATCATTCCAAAGATATGATCCTTCTGTCATTGCAGCTGGTGGCATGTCTGATTGTATTGATGTAGTAAGACAAAAGTGACGGTGTCATTCCACTAGCAAAAGACTATTTTTATCTCTGATACAGTTTTTTCTAAACAGAGGTCCTTAAGCAGTTGGGCTAAAAAAGTATTGGAAACCTTTTGAATGTTCCTCCTGATGATTTGGTGAGGGAAAGGTACTTTTTTTTTTCCCCAATTATGTAATGCCAGCTCTAAGTTATAGCTCTAAGTTTAAGATAGATACTATTTTCTCTTGAATGAGCATAACTCAGTGGAAGAAGATACCTATAAAAGTGAAGGGCACTGATGTTTGTGTGTTTGGTTTGTTTTTTTTTTTTCCCCCTCCTTCTCCCCTGCCTGCAGGAGAAACCTTTGCTTTTGTATGAACTGAAAGCCTTACTTCTTGAGGCTCTTATCTTATCTTTGATACAGAATGTCATATTTTACTCTGTCAAAGTACTGAGTCCAGATGCGGGATTGTATCATTTTACTTTCACTTCCACTAGGTACCGAGTCAAAGACAAGTCAGACAGAGCAACAGTAGAACAGGTAAGTCCTTAATTCATCAATTTTCTCTTTTGACTAGAACAATTAATGTTGAATTTTGGAATCAATGATAAAAATGATGCTGTAGAAACAGAGTTTTGCCTTAGAATTCTGTTTCCCTTGTTACCCTGAAGAGACTAGTTGTTTGTTTATGTTTCTTGTACGAAGGTTGTACTTGCTTCCGTAAACATTTTGGAACTCATTTTTGTGCTTAGCATTGTGATTTGATCGTATATGCAGTGCAGAATTTCATCTTAAGCTTTTATTAAATTCCAAAGAACAATAAAAAAATGCTGTTGTTTTTTTTCTTTAGCAAGATTGAACTATTACTGGCCCAAGGCCAGTTATGATAGCTGTATCTTAAAAGAACCTTACCTTAACGCATTTAATGGGGAAATCATTGGGATTTCCAATCCCAAGTGGGTGGGAAATCATTCTCTTATGTGTATTCTAGAGGTAGCTCAAGGACATATGCTTAGCTTAAAAAAAAAAAAGTCTTGAAAAAAAAAGTGAATCGTAGCAAAGTTCTGGGTGGCTGCTGTTTTGGATTATTATTTGATCCTTAAGAATAGCCTGATGCCATGGATCCTTGCATATGGTACTAAGACTGGACTGTATTATTAGGTTTTGTCCTCTTCAGAGAGAGCAGTTGTGCTGACTTCTCTGAATCAAATTTCAGGTGTTGGATCCAAGGACCCGAATGATTCTGTTCAAGATGCTAACTAGAGGTGTCATATCAGAAATCAATGGCTGCATCAGCACAGGGAAAGAAGTAAGTTTTATTACAACTGACATGATAGTCTTTTTCTCAGCAAGTTAGGTGGAAGCCTATGGCGCTCAGATGATGTATTGAAATAATTTGTTTTAGTACTACTTTTTTTGTGTGTGTGTTGCTTGATTGGTAGGAAGCTATCTTAAGATAAAATGCCATTTATGTTAAAGGAAACAAGTTTCTCCAAGTATGAGATTTCCCAGAATACTTAAGTGTTATCTTGAATTGTGGATCATGTCAATTGTATGTTACAACTGAAGTTTTTGAAAAAGGGTGTGTGTACACACAATATTAAACAGTGCCTGAAAAACGTACAAACCCAGGTAATTCTTTCTTCATGTGAGACTCTTGCATGCAGATGAGACCAGCTCCCCATGTCAGCAGACATCGGAGAATCTAAACGGTGTAACAGAATTTTGTTTAAAATACTTTTAAACTTTCATTGCTTTTACAAAACTAGCATGTTTGTATGCTGTTACTATCAAGTAATAGTGCAGATAATTAAAATCAGACCACAAAAATTTCCAAGTAAATTAATAAATCAGTTTTAGAACGCCTAGTCCCTAGGCTGATCTGGTTTTCTTCCAAATCCTTGGATGCTGATTAACGGCATACTTCCACCCTCTGTAGAGGTGTAAGCGTGAGACATTTGGGCCATGCCTTAGGACCTAAATAGTACACAGGCTGAAGTTAAGCCTTCACACAAGGGCTTCTTTCAGTCTCCAAAATGTGGATGAGGCAGAGTTTTCTTGTGCACTGTTGTTTTTGTCCTATGTGCATTGTCACACCCCAACGCAGTCCTAGGTACTTCCTGTAAGCTGCCTCTGATAGAAAAAGAGAGCACACTTACGTGCAGTCTCACTCATCTGGGTGCCACGTAGGGGCTGGGGAGCGAAAGCTTATCAGATCTTTTCCAGGATGTCACACAGAGAAGAGGAGAGAAGGTTATGTTGGTTTAAAGCATTTCTCTTGTAATGTTATTTCTTCCCTCTATAATCTGATAGGCTAATGTATATCATGCCAGTACTGCAAATGGAGAGAACAGAGCAATAAAGATTTACAAAACTTCTATTCTGATGTTTAAGGACCGAGATAAGTATGTGAGTGGTGAATTCAGGTGAGTTGGAGTTTTGCCAGGTTTTACTGGGGAAGAGGGGTTGTTTCAAAGATGGTAAAATCACTGGTGCTAATACTGCATTGATTGGCTAAGAATCCTTGTTGTCTTTTATTTATTTAAAGATTTCGTCATGGATATTGTAAAGGCAACCCAAGAAAAATGGTCAAGACATGGGCTGAAAAAGAAATGAGGAATTTAATAAGGTAATTCTTCCAGTTTTTATTTCAGCATGCAAAGGTAACTGTAAGTTGATAGGAAGTACTCTCCTGTTGCTAGACTGTGTCTGTCAATACCTTTTAGGGTCTCTGGAGTATTCAGGAAAGTGTCTTAAGCACCCCTGTGGGAGAGAAAAGGAAGGGAGGAATAAAGGTATTCTTTTGTTTTGCTGCTCATGCTCTAAGCTCTTCAATGTCTGAACACTGACATGACTGAAAAGTGAGGAAAAGCTAGAAAAAGCTGCTGCAGAGTGACAGCACACTGTGTGGTACAGGTTAATCTAGGATTAACCTGAACTGTGTAAAGTTTCTTTGTCTGACACAGGAATGCTTAGAGAAGGGTCAGAACCAGAATGGTTGTGGCTTTTTGTATTCATTTTCTAGTTGCTCTTCACAAGTGAGTTTCCGAGGTAGAGGAGCTCTTATTGTGTATTATGTTTAAAGCAACAGAGCTCCTATAGGAACTAGTGCAATGCAACTAGTAGAATTTGGGTTTACTTTTTTGTGGCTTTGTTCCTGTGTTACAGGTTGAATACAGCCCAGATACCTTGCCCAGAGCCAATTATGCTAAGAAGCCATGTTCTTGTCATGGGCTTTATTGGTAAAGGTGATAGGTAAGTATCCTTAGAAAATCAAATATTTTTTTGTTAGTAGCTTTCCACAACCTGTTATTAAAAACAAACAAATCAACCCTCTGAATTTGCCTACTTTTAGATCTGTAAACTAACATGTTACTCTTACACGTGCATGTGACCTGTAGAATACCCAGACATTTGCCAGCTGCTACCACAGACAATCTGAATGATTCTGAAGCCTCAGTTGTATGCAAAATTAATTCGTAAAGTGGCTTAGCCAGAGATTAAGGCTGGAAAGGCTTGCTAATTATACATGAAGATAGCTCATCATTTTGTAGTGCAAACATTAATGTAGCATGGTCCAAATTACCTCACATTGGAAACAGAGCTCCGATGTCTTTGGCAAGACTATACCAAGCTTTTCTGCCCTTCGTGCTGACTCCATGCGCTTTGCTGCTCACGCTGACTTGCCTGACACACTTGGTGAGCAGCAGGATCAGGTACAGCAGTTAAAGCATTTGCAGCTGGTATGAAGAAGGAAAAAGTATTCACTTTCTGTTATTTGTGTTGTAATTTAAAGGCCTGCTCCTCTGCTGAAGAATGCTCAGTTATCTGACTCCAAAGTCCGGGAACTGTACCTACAAATTATCCAGTACATGAGAAGAATGTACCAAGATGCCAGACTTGTTCATGCGGATCTCAGTGAATTTAATATGCTGTATGTTTTTAAACTTTGTTCTGAGTTGTGACATCTAAAATGTATGCATTGGCAACCTCTATGTGAGAGTACTAGTCTACCTTTAAGGGAGGGCGGGGTCCTTTTTGTGACTGGGTTTTGTAACATGTAATTAATTGTGTAGTTTTTAACCCAGCTGGGAGGTTTCTCTGTTTAAAAGGAAAAATGCAAAACAAACAAAGAAAAAAAATCCTCACAAACAAACAAAAACTCAACTAGAGAAAAAATTAATAAGGTATAATTTTTTTTTCTTTTTCTCCCCTGTTGTGGTTTAACCCCAGCCAAGAACTAAGCACCACACAGCTGCTCACTCATTCCCTGCCCCTCCAGGTGGGATACTGGAGAGAATTGTAAAACACTCATGGGTTGAGATAAAGACAGTTCAATAGGTAAAGCAAAACAAGGAATTAGTTCACCATTTCCCCTGGGCAGGCAGGTGTTCAGCCATCTCCAGGGAAGCAGATAACGGTTACTTGGGAAGACAGATGCCATAACTCCGAACGTCCCCCCTTCCTTCTTCCCCTAGCTTTATATACTGAGCATGATGTCATATGGTATGGAATATCCCCTTGGCCAGCCTGGTGCAGCTGTCCTGGCTGTGTCCCCTCCCAGCTTCCTGTGCATCCCCAGCCTTCCTGCTGGCAGGCCAGCATGAAAAGCCGGACAGTCCTTGACTGCTTAGCAACAACCCAAAACATCAGTACGTTATCAACATTATTTTCATCCCAAATCCAAAACATAGCCTCACATTAGCTTCTACAAAGAAAATTAACTCTATCCCAGCTTAAACCAGGATGCACCCCACCCATAACACTGCTTTTTGTGTTCACAAGAAGACTTTTAATAGTTTAATAATACAGCTTGTGTAGAGGAGGGAAACGGTTGACCCAAAAAAACCACTCTGGCCCTAATATGCAAGGTGTATGCTAGTGAAATACCTTAAGATTGTTTGCTGGTTTTTTAAGTTTGAAGCACACTGTTTCCTGCCTTTCAATAATCTCCCATATGAGAGTGGTGGAGTTAGAGCAGCTCTCTGAGTTCACTTGCAGATACCACAGTGGGGATGCGTACATCATTGATGTGTCTCAGGCAGTGGAGCATGACCACCCACATGCCCTGGAGTTCCTGCGAAAGGATTGTGCCAACGTTAGCGGTGAGTGGGTGGCACTTTAACTCTTGCTCTGACAGCTGGTTCATTTAGGAAGGTGAACTGTGTTCACCTATGTTCTTTCAGGTATAACTGAGTGTAGAATCTGTCAAACTTCAGTGAAAATGCTCCTTCTCCCAGATTCTCATGGCTTCCTCAGGGAGCTAGAAATCGTCTGGACAAAGTGAGTCACCTAGCTGAATCTCAGATTTATGGCAGAAAGTAGAGATCAGTCCCAGTCTGCAGCAGCACCCACCCCAGTCTTCCCTCACTTAAAGAACTGAGCAAATGTACTGATGTGTTTCCTTCTGTGAGTGGAATCCAGACGTGGAATTTTTCAGCTGGCAAGAAGTTACCACATGTTATGAAGTTCCATGCACTTACTTGTCCAGGTCAGCTGAGAGTATCGAGGCATTGAGTAATTTATTAGAGATGTTATCACTTGTTATAGTATTTTGATAAACAAGGTACCTGTATGGCATTTTTCCTCTGGAAAATTTGGTCTTTGTGTGTGAGTGTGTTGTGTAACAGACACACACCTCCTGGTAGGCTGTGTTTCTCTCTGAGGACAGGAAATCTGTCACTGCAGACTGCCTTCCTCCCCGCTTTCTTTTTAGGTTGACCTCTTTCTAATTTTACAGAGACTCTTGAAACTCTGTGGAAAAAGAACTGTGTGCATTTTGATGCTTTGTGTTTGTTGATACCTGATATGCTAGTTTTTCCTTATTCCTTTTCTGTTCATGGATTTCTAATAACTCCCAGCTCAGATACTTGCACCCTTGCTCTTTTTTTATGTCTTCTGGCTTGCTCTCCCTAGATATTCTAGTGCCTCAGTGAGTCGCAGTGGTTTTGGTGTGTTTTGTTTGTTTGTTTGTTTTCTGTCACTGCAGCTTTCTCTGTGTAGTCTTCCTACAGGGACTCTGAGGACTGCCTTGCTTTATGCTATGCCCTAGCTGTGATCATTGCAAAGACTTGTGGTTCCATGAGCAAAGAGAACTGCCTCGAAACTAAATTTTTTTGTTCTTTCTGTGATTAATTTCTCATGGTGAGAGATGTTCTGAGAACCTTAGTAGGAAACACTTATTATGTAGTCCTTAGTGTCTTTCACTGCTGTTTTCCAGTACAGAATTGCAGCCTCTGAATTTGGTTATACTTGACTCAAGAAACCAATTGAGTGTAGTATTGAGGAAAATTCTAATATTTTAATGTGTCTTGCCTTTTAGGTGCATCATAATTAGGCTGTACTGTATTTCAGTGGATACTTGTGTTTTTCTTTGGCAAAAGTTTGAGCTCTACATTCCTTATTCTTTGAAATACATTTTTCATCTTAGTCATTGCAAATACTACACCTGTCTTAAATTGTTTACTTCTTAGCCTCTACTCCATTAAGTCTGGGTCCTGCTGAAATTGGTTTGGCTTTTATATTTACCCAGTTATTCTCCTTTCAGTACCTGTTGCATCTGGAAGATGAACAGTTTTATTTCAGATGGCCAAGAGTCATCTGATAACTAAACCCAGTATGATGCAGTACATACTGCTGAGACTTTCCCAAGTCACCAGGGCCGTTGGCTTGCTATAACTGTCACTTAAACATCACAGCTGTGTATGTTACACAAAATTACTTATGGTTTTTGTCTCTGCTCTTGATTCCTCGTAGACTTCTTCCAGAAGCACAGTGTTGCAGTGATGACTGTGAGGGAGCTGTTTGAGTTTATTACCGATCCTTCTATCACAAGTGAGAACATTGATGACTATCTGGCTAAGGTAAGACCTCATGGCCTTGTTGCTTATGTAGGAAGACTTGAACAATAAAATCAGGTCTAGTTTGAGCTCCTTCATCTCATTTATTTGACATCCTGCTACGGAAGGAAGCTGGTAGTAATGTTATGATGTTATGTTATGCTATGCTAGTAATTAAAAAATGCATACAGGTCTTTCCCGTTTATATTGTTATAGGATGACAACACTTTCATTCTATGTTTTCTCAAAGGGTCTAATCATGATCTGTTTCAGGTACTACTAAACCCAGGATTCCTTAAATTAGTTCTTCCTTTTTGGCAAGGAGAAGTTCTGCAGAAATATAACCATGCTTATACAGATAATGGAGTTAGGAATGCAGATTTGAGCAAGGTGATCTGAGGGAGGAAGGGAATGACTCGGGGCAGTGTTACTCCGAGGTACACAGTCTTGCTAGCCAAATACAGCGAATGGCAGAACATGGTGATTCTAGGAGGAGGTAAACTTAGTGGTGCTTGCAGCACCCCTGTGCTTCATCTCTAGGTGCCAGTCCTCCGCTGCCAGTTAGACGTTTCTTTAAAAAGGGAGGCAGGGGAGGGGGGAAGCTTTTTAAGTTAACACAAGAGAAATGGGGGCCACATACGCCACACTCAGAGTGGAGATTTGATGTGTCATTCCTGGTCAACACCATAAGGCAGAGACTGAGCGTGGCCCAAATACCAGTACAGCATGAGGATTCCCAAACGTTGTGTACTTTGTTGTACTGGAGGTTGAATGAGACAGAGCTGTGCTACCGTTATTTGTGCTCCTCGGCTTCCTCAATGTGCATGAGAAGAGCCACACTCCAGGAGTGAGCACTACTCACTGTATTCTCCTTGTGCTGTTATGTCCTGTTGTCATGCTGGGCCTGCCATAATTTGGTCTGGGAGGAGCAGCAAGCATGTCTTCCCCCTTTTAACAAAGCAGATCCGCAATTAGTGGTGTGCTTGGTGGGAATGCTGGTTGCCATTAGGTGTCGCTCAAGGCATTGCCATAGGGAAAGCTGGAGTGGTTTGTGAGTGACGGCCTGGCGTACAGGGAGAAGCACAGATGGGAATAGTTAGTTGGATTAAGTGATGCGATTCTGAAGAGTGATAACTTTTTGTATTGTTTTACATTTCTTTAGGCAATGGAAATAGCATCGAAAAGAACAGAGGAGGAAAGATCCAGTCAAGACAAAGTGGATGAGGAAGTAAGTGAGGATTTTTATTCCTGCTATGAAATTGATATTAACCTTGCCTCTTCTAAACAATGAAAAACGTTCTTTTTTATTTGGCCATATGGGTGTTGTGTGGCAAGGTAGAGGCAGGGCTGCAAGGGTGGCTTCTGTGAGAAGCAGCCAGAAGCTTCCTCTGTGTCCGGTAGAGCCAGTGCCAGCCAGCTCCAAGACGGACCCACTGCTGGCCAAGGCCAAGCCCATCAGCAACAGTGGCAGCACCTCTGGGGTGACAGAGTTAAGAAAGAGGAGGGGGAGCGGGGAACCTGTGCAACTGCATCCAGAGAGAGGAGTGAGAATATGTGAGAACAACAACTGCAGACACCGAGGTCAGTGAAGAAGGAGGGGCAGGAGTTGCTCCAGGCACTGGAGCAGAGATTCCCCTGCGGCCTGTGGTGAAGACCATGGCGAGGCAGGCTGTCCCCCTGCAGCCCGTGGAGCTCCACAGTGGAGCAGATACCCACCTGCAGCCTGTGGAGGACCC